TCTGCATCTTCCCACTGGAACACATGCTCCACAAGGTCAGAGATTTTTCTCATTTTACTTCAGTGATGTTCCCCAGATGCAGAACCACTCTGTCCTATGTCTGACAGAAAACAAAGGTCAGTTGAATGAATGATCACTGTAGAGCACCTCCCTATTCTAAAGGCAGTATCTTTAATAACATGGCCTCAGGACAAATGCTGTTTTGTGGCAGCTATGGCACAAGGTCCCCTCACACTGACACTGAGGCTGCCTGTGCTTTTCTCAGCGGTGCTGCTTGTGTGTCCTCCCTCCCCCATCCCTTCTGCCACACCAACCCCCTCTCCCCACCTGCACACTGCAGCACACAATCGGTTTCTCTCTTCAGGAAAGAACAGTCCTTGATGATGGGTCCAATTTCACAAACAAATATAAATCTAAATTAGATTATGTTTTAGATTCATGAGTTGATATTGGAACCAGCACCAAGATCACTGGAACGAGGGCAGGGAGAGAGGGCAGGAGATCAGAGCAGAAGAGGAGCCCTAGAAGGAGGGCGGGAGCTGAATGGGTCTGAAAACTTGTCTCAGAAAGCACAGAGACTCCGGTATGCAGGGGCCACCCTGGGTGATGTGTGAGCCTCTGTGGTCACAGTTCTGCTGGACAAGTTTCCACTGAAGGGACAAGAACAATGGAACAGTGAAGGTCACCCAGCTGAGGACTGACCACATAAAGCCCCTGATGGACTGAACAGCAACTGGACACAGGCCCCATCCACACTTGGCTCCTCACAGCCTTCTCCACCCCCACCTGCAACAAACTCAGCACAACTAACACACGGATTCTGGAAGATTCTCAGGTCTTTATTTCCTCTCTCAAATTCTAGGAATTGACTTATTTAATTAACCCATCAACCTCTCATGGAAAATATTTGAGAAAACAAATTTCTATTCAGATTCTCATTTTCAGTAGGGAAGTAAGAGGTTGCAGCTCAGCGCACCATGAAGTTGAGACAGAGGTGGAGACATCCAGCCCCACCTCTCAGGAACAGGAAGGATGACTGGGGAGGAAACACAGGTCAGCGTGGGAACAGGGGTCACGGTGGACACGGGGGTGGGCTGTCTCTCCACCTCCTCACATTATGCTGACAGGGAGGCAGGCACATTCAGATGCCTTCGCAGAAAGAGATGCCAGAGGCTCTTGAAGTAACAAAGGGGAGATGTGAAGAAATCCTGCATCTCAGTCCCATGTAAGGCAGCTTTCTCAGCCTACAGAAGACAACAGTCATGAACAAATTCAAGTCAGTCAGTCTCTGAAGAGCCCACCACACTCTCAAAATGTCCCAATCAAAGAATTCCCATAACCCAGTCATGTTCCCTCTGCCCCATCCCCCACTGACTTCAGACCCCCCAGGGTCTCACCTTTAGAATCCATGAGAGACACACAAGAGCTCTGGGCACTGTTGCTACCTGGAGTAGAACAAAAAGAGGACCTGGTCAGAGCCCACAGGAGATGTGGGACAGGAGGAATTATGGAGTGGTTGAGCTCCTCCACACTCCCGCCCCCACCACTTACATGCAGCCTGAGAGCAGCTCCCTCTTTTTCCCCTTGTGTGAAGAAAATGTCCTGTGAGGCGACAGGGAGGAGGCAGGGCCATGAGATCTTAGAGGAACCTTCTAGTCTTAAACCCAAGAGAAGTTTCCAGAACTATGACTGCAGACCCAGGACAGGATAAGCAAACACGAGGAAAGCAGATGTGGCTCCTGGACCAACTGCCCTCCTAAGGCCTGTCCTTAGCAGGAACCTTCCCCTGACTCGTGAATGCTGGAATCAGGACCCCAACACCATAATCATCAAGGTGATACATTGTCCTTCATTGTCACATGTGCTTCACAAAAGAGTAGGTGCTGGCACACAGGCCCCAGGCTGGGTTAGCCCCTGTGTGGATGCTGCTTCCCAGTAATGAGGCAGGAAACACTTCTACCTGGGGCTTGAAAACCCCAGTGGGACAAGAAAACCCAGACCCCACCACTCAACCCTTCCCTACCTAAGCTCTTCCTCTTCCACATCACAGCAGCGACAACAGCTCCTAGGACAGCCAGGCCAGCAACGATGCCCACAATGGGGATGGTGGACTGGGAAGACGGCTCTGGGAAAGGAGGGGAAGATGAGGGGCCCTAACACCCAGGCCTGAACCCTGACCCTGCTAAAGGGCTCCAGAAGGGTTCCTGCTTTCTCTGAAAGACATATGACCCCCTCAATCCCCCTCCTTACCCCATCTCAGGGTGAGGGGCTCCAGCAGCCCCTGGTGCTGCACATGGCACGTGTATCTCTGCTCTTCTCCAGAAGGCACCACCACAGCTGCCCACTTCTGGAAGGTTCCATCCCCTGCTGGCCTGGTCTCCACAAGCTCAGTGTCCTGAGTTTGCTCCTCCCCATCCTGCTGCCAGGTCAGTGTGATCTCCGCAGGGTAGAAGCCCAGGGCCCAGCACCTCAGGGTGGCCTCATGGTCAGAGACGGGGTGGTGGGCCACGTGTGTCTTTGGGGGGTCTGACGGGAAAAGTCAGAAAATTCAGGCACTTTGCATCTCTCATGGGACACCCCAGAAGCACCCATGTGACCATCCTGAGAATGGACAGGAAACCTGGGGTGGGGAAGGGAGCACAGAAGCCAGACACCAGCCTGGACACAGGCACCTGGGATAATCTCCTATTCCTTGGAAAGTTCTAGTCTCTGAGGGGAGAACAACGATTTCTGGTTCTGACCTGAGTGGAGGCCGAGGGACTGAGAAAAGTTGGAATCAGACCTTCAAACACATTGAGTGTGAGGAAGAGAACAAGGCCTGAGAGAAAAAGTCAACGGGCCCAAGGCTGCTGCAGGGGTCAAAAGGGTACTTCCTCAGAGATTTCATGCCTTAATTGTCCTAGAGAGCAGAGGGGACCCTCAGAGGAAACTCTGGAAAACTCATGCCATTCTCCATTCAAGGGAGGGCGACATTCTAGCCCTGATCCCATTTTCCTCCCCTCCTCCTAGGAGGCCACCCCGGGAAATCTATAGGAGATGCGGAAGACTCCCCACTGCCTCTGGTACCCGCGTGCTGCAGCGTCTCCTTCCCGTTCTCCAGGTATCTACGGAGCCACTCCAGGCACTCGCCCTCCAGGTAGGCTCTCAGCTTCTCCGCCGCACGGGCCGCCTCCCACTTGCGCTGCGTTATCTGAGCCGTCGTGTCTGCGGCGGTCCAGGAGCGCAGGTCCTCGTTCAGGGCAATGTAATCCCTGCCGTCGTAGGCGAACTGCCGGTACCCGCGGAGGAGGCGCCCGTCGGGTCCCAGGTCGCAGCCGTACATCCACTGGAAGGTGTGAGACCCTGGCCCCGCCCCCGCGGTCAGGCCTCCCCACCGATTCCCGTCCCCGCCCCGACCAACCTGCGGGGATTGTGGCCTAAACTGAAAATGAAACCGGGTAAAGGCGCCTGGGGCTCTCCTGGATCCTGGGTCTGGGGGGGTCCCGCAGCCTCGGGGTGGATCTCAGACCCAAAGACTCCGGGGAACTCGGGCCGTCCGTGGGGGATGGGGAGAGGTCCTGACCCGCGCCCCAGGCCGGGGTCACTCACCTGCCTCGCTCTGGTTGTAGTAGCGGAGCAGGTTCCTCAAGTCCCCTCGGAAAGTCTCTGCGTTGACCTTGGCGTTCCGTGTGTTCCGGTCCCAATACTCCGGCCCTTCCTGCTCCATCCACGGCGCCCGCGGCTCCATCCTCGGACTCGCCGCGTCGCTGTCAAACCGCACGAACTGCGTGTCGTCCACGTAGCCGACTTCGAGGTACCAGGGCTCCCCGCGGCCGGGCCGGGAGACAGCGGTGCTGAAATACCTCAAGGAGTGGGAGCCTGGGGGCGAGGAGAGGCTGAGGCCCCCCACCGACCCTCCTCCCGGCGCGGCTCCCCGCGTCCTGCGCCCCAGCCGGGCGGTTGGTCCCCTCCTCCTCCCTGCAGAGGCTGTTTCCCTCCCGACCCCGCACTCACCCACCCAGGTCTCGGTCAGGGCCAGGGCCCCCGAGAGCAGCAGGAGGAGGGTTCGGGGCACCATGGCCGCATCTTTGGCTTCTGGGGAGAATCTGAGTCCCGGTGGTTGACTGAGGACTTTAGAACCAGGACCGGGACGACACTGATTGGCGTCTCTAGAAACCCGACAGCCAGTGGGAGTGGCAACTGGGGACGTGTCCTGATTATCCTGGAAGAAGGACACAGGTTGGGAAAAGAAGTTAAACTCAGAGGAGTGGAGAATCCTCAACGCTGCGCCTCCCCAATCCAGACCCGGCCCTGGGAGCCTGAGACCCTGAGAGCCACGCCCAGGACCTGGGACTTTGTCCTGATCCTTCTTCTCCTACACCAAGCCTCTTTGTCACACTGTCTCCCTAATTCCTGGCCAAGGATCTGTCTATGGAAAACAGGAAGAGACCGCCAGGCTGCGCCCAGATCTTTCCCCTTCACTGCTCGTCCTGGAATCCCCGTCCCTGAACTGGACTTCCTGCCTCCCTCTCCTACCTCTCCCCTTGGACCTTTGTACAGGAAAACTCACCACGGGGAACTTGATGCCAGAAAGAGCTCGCCCTGGGAATGGAGGTGTAGAGACAGGGGTTTTCTCTCTAAACCTGGTGAAGTTTTGTCTGAAGGCACCACATAGAGATTCTCATAGAGACGAAGTTTCCTTTTTGTTTATTAATACAGTAGGTAGCACAATATTGGTAATCCCTGAATGATTAGAATTCCAATGTGTAAAAGACCTGTGTCAAAACAGCATTACAATTAAACTCTCAAAGCTCCTGTTTTACTTTCCCAGACTGTGGATCTGTGACTCTGGGTTGCTGAATTTAAAATTATCTTCCTTCTCTAGTCCGAGTTTCCCTGTATGAGTCCAGAACTTCTCCTGAATACAAAGAAGCAGGGTTTGTTACTGTCCATTGCGACCGGGAGCCTGTAGTCATCACCCCAAAGCTGCAAGTGCTCCATGCAGACCCAGTGCTCTTCAAGGACGCTCAAGCACTGCCTGTTTTCCAGAACTATGCACATCTAGGCAGTGTGTATATTTTATTGGGACACTGGGTATTTTTGTAACCCTTTTTTAAAAAAATCATTAGGAGGCCACTTGCCAGGCCTCTGAGCCCAAGCCTGCACGTATTCATCCAGATGGCCTGAAGTAAGTGAAGAGTCACAAGGGAAGTGAAAATGACCGGTTCTTGCCTTAACTGATGACATTGCCTTGTGGAGTTCCTTCTCCTGGCACATCCTGGCTCAAAGGCTCCCCAACTGAGCACCTTGTGACCCCCACCCCTGCCGGCCAGAGAACAACCCCCTTTGACTGTAATTTTCCACTACCTACCCAAATCCTATAAAACAGCCCCACCCCTATCTGCTTTCGCTGACTGTCTTTTCAGACTCAGTCTGCCTGCACCCAGTTGATCAAAAAGCTTTATTGCTCACACAAAGCCTGTTTGGTGGTCTCTTCACAGGGACGCACGTGAAATTTAGTGCCATGACTCGGATCGGGGGACCTCCCTTGGGAGATCAATCCCCTGTCCTCCTGCCCTTTGCTCCGTGAGAAAGATCCACCTACGACCTCAGGTCCTCAGACCAAGCAGCCCAAGGAATATCTCACCAATTTTAAATCCGGTAAGTGGCCTCTTTTTATTCTCTTCTCCATCCTCTCACACTATCCCTCAGTCTCTTTCTCCTATCAATCTTAGGGCCATCTTTCAATCTCTCCCTTCTCTTAATTTCAGTTCCTTTCCTTTTCTGGTAGAGACAGAGGAGATGCGTTTTATCCCTGAACCCAAAACTCTGGCGCTGGTCACAGACTCGGGAAGACAGTTTTCCCTTGGTGTTTAATCACTGCAGGGACGCCTGCATGATTATTCACCCATGTTTCAGAGGTGTCGGATCACCATGGGAACACCTGCCTTGATCCTTCACCCTTAGTGGCAAGCACCACTTTTGGGGGGGCAAGCACCCCCTGCCCATTCTCTCCCTGTCTCTACCCTCTCTTTTCTCTCCACTTTCTAGGGGGACAAGCACCCCCCATCCCTTTTCCACTTTCCTGGGGGGCAAGCACCCCCCAGCCCTTCTCTCCATGTCTCTACCCACCCCTTCACTCCGTGTCTCTACCCTCTCTTTTCTCTGGGCTTGCGTCCTTCACTATGGGCAACCTTCCACCCTCCATTCCTCCCTCTTCTCCCTTAGCGTGTGTTCTCAAAAACTTAAAACCTCTTCAACTCACACCTGAACGCCTTATTTTCTAAAACCTGAATGTCTTATTTTCTTCTGCAACACTGCTTGGCCCCAATACAAACTAGATAATGGCTCTAAATGGACAGAAAACGACACTCCATTTCTCCATCCTATGAGACCTAGATAATTTTTGTCGAAAAATGGGCAAGTGGTCTGAGGTGCCTTACATCCAGGCATTTTTCACACTTCGTTCCCTCCCTGTTCTCTGTTCCCATTGCGATTCTGCCCAAATCCTCCTCCTTTCCCTCTCTCCTGTCCCCTCAGTCCCAACCTCAAGCGTTGCTGAGTCTTTCCAATCTTCCTTTTCTAAAGACCCATCTGACCTCTCCCCTCCTCCCCAGGCTGCTCCTCTCCAGGCTGAGCCAGGTCCCAATTCTTCCTCAGCCTCCACTCCTCCACCCTATAATCCTTCTATCACCCTTGCTCCCCACACCCTATCCAGCTTACAGTTTGGTTCCACGACTAGCTCTTTCCCACCTGCCCAAAAATTTCCTCTTAGAGAGGTGGCTGGAGCTGAAGGCATAGTCAGGGTACATGTGCCTTTTTCTCTATCAGACCTCTCTCAGATCTGTCAGCGTTTAGGCTTTTTCTCATCAGGACCCACTAAATATGTACAGGAATTCCTATGTCTTACTCTGTCCTACAATTTAACCTGGAGTGACTTAAATGTCATCTTAACTTCTACCCTCTCCCCAGATGAATGGGAAAGAGTTTTTTCTCTGGTCCAGTCTCACGCTGACAACTGCCGACTCCACAAGCCAGACCTCCAGGAAGGCATTAGAGCAGCTCCCCGAGAGGATCCCCAGTGGAACTATCAGGCAGATTCCCCAAGTATAGCTAGGCGAGATTACATGATTTATTGCCTAGTTGAAGGGCTTAAAAAGGCAGCTTACTGTTAATTATGAGAAGCTTAAAGAAACTAACCAAGGTAAAGACAAAAACCCAGCCCAGTTCATGGCTCATTTCACAGCAGATGCTTGAAATGAGATGCTTGACAGTCCTAGACCCTGAAGGGTCAGAAGGCCATCTCATTCTAAATATGCCTTTTATCACCCAGTCAACTCCTGACATTAGAAAAAAGCTTCAAAAATTAGAATCCAGCCTTCAAACCCCACAACAGGAATTAATCAACCTCACCTTCAAGGTGTACAATAATAGAGAGGAGGCAGCCAGACAGCAACGCATTTCTGAGTCACAATTAGTTGCCTCTGCTGTGAGACAAAACCCAGTCGTACCTCCAGCACATAAGAACTTCAAAATGCCTAAGCTGAACACTGCTAAGCCGCAGCAGTCAAGCATTCCTACAGGACCTTCTTCATCAGGATCTTGCTTCAAGTGCCAGAAATATGGCCACTGGGCCAAGGAATGCCCACAGCCCAGGATTCCTCCCAAGCCATGTCCCATCTGTGCAGGGACCCACTGGAAATCAGACGGCCCAGCTCGCCTGGCAGCCACCCCTAGAGCCCCTAAAGCTCTACCCCAGGGCTCTCTGACTGACTCCTTCCCAGATCTGCTTGGCTTAGCGGCTGAAGATTGATGCTGCCTGATTGCCTTGGAAGCCCCCTGGACCATCACGGATGCTGAGCTTCGGGTAACTCTCATAGTGAAAGGTAAGTCCATCCCCTGCTTAATCAATATGGAGGCTACCCACTCCACATTACCTTCTTTCCAAGGGCCTGTTTCCCTTGCCTCCATAACTGTTGCGGGTATTGACGGCCAGGCTTCTAAACCTCTTAAAACTCCCCAACTCTGGTGCCAATTTGGACAATATTCTTTTATGCACTCCTTTTCAGTTATCCCCACCTAGCCAGTTCCCTTATTAGGTCTAGGCATTTTAACTAAATTATCTGCTGCCCCAACTATTCCTAGGCTACAGCCACACCTCACTGCCGCCCTTTCCCCCAGTTCAAAACCTCCTTCACACCCTCCCCTTGTATCGCCCCACCTTAATCCACAAGTGTGGGACACCTCTACTCCCTCCTTGGTGACCAATCATGCACCCCTTACCATCCCATTAAAACCTAATCACCCTTACCCGGCTCAACACCAATATCCCATCCCACAGCACACTTTAAAAGGATTAAAGCCTGTTATCACTTGCCTGTTACAGCATGGCCTTTTAAAACTTATAAACTCTCTGGCCGGGCGCGGTGGCTCAAGCCTGTAATCCCAGCACTTTGGGAGGCCGAGACGGGCGGATCACGAGGTCA